AACAAATTACAGGGCTACTATGTTATCTGTCATCCTCCCTCCATTGTAGTAAACCCCAAGCAAAAGCTTGATCCTAATTTGTAGATAACACACTGTTAAAAATACTGCAGGTTCAATGCAGAATCCTGAGACATTCCTGCTCTAACTGTAACTAAGAGTTGTTTATTCATCTGAGTATCCATCCCATGTACCTGAGTATCCATCCCACATGCAGTCTCCAAAGGTAAATGCTGATGTGGAAGTCAGGAAGTGCATGCTGATAAGAGCCTGATATAGATGTCTCCTCAGAGGTATGCAAGAGTCTGACATATTCAGAGGAAAAAAAAAATTTAAGCTGGTTGACAGAGGAATGAACTGAGTCAAGAGTCTAACTCGGTTCACTATGCTACAACACTTGGCACACCCAGAAAGTGTTATTTGCAGGGTTATTTTCTAACAAAACAGTGGCAAAGGATGTTGGTGTACATTAGCTTTCTCTAAGAATGATGCCTTGACATGGGAAAACTAAACTTCATCTTAGCTAACTTACTCAGAGAGTGTGCTTGCATTGCTGTCCTGGAAGCAAGAATTCCCTACACCAAAGAGCTGGCACTGGTGAAAGCTGTAAGGGGGGGTGAGGGTAGGGTAGGGGGGGAAATAAAGTCTATGCCAAAAAGTCAGCTCAACTCATCACTTCCCTTTCCACTTCCCACACTCCTTACTGGTTTACTGAACTATAATCCATATACTACAGAACACATGCCTTTAACACATATTATTAAGTAATATGCAGTCATGCAAGCACTTCTCATCCCCTTCCCTCAAAACCTACCCATTAGTAACCACTCTTTCATAACATCTGAACTGTAAATAAAATATCCAATAAAAAAAAGAGTAACCACTCTTTCTTTCCACCCAACTCCAAGTAACCACTAATCTATTTCAGTCTATACTGCTAAATAGTATTTTACTCTATGGATACAGCACCTAAGGTCTTTTCTTCACAAGCAGTAGAATCTCTTGGGTATATCAACTAAGGTAACTATAGCAGTTAGGTACTCATAAATCCCTATTATAGGTTATAGCAGAAATTATAACATTAATTACAAAATACTAAGTTTTGGTGGGGAGGAGAGGAGACTTACTGTTTTTTTGTTTGTTTTGTTTGTTTTTTGTTTGTTTTGTTTTTCCAGGCTGGGTTTCTCTGTGTAGCCCTGGCTGTCCTGGAACTCTCTTTGTAGACCAGGCTGGCCTTGAACTCACAGAGATCCACCTGCTTCTGCCTCCTGAGTACTGAGAATAAAGGTGTGTGCCCAGCTATTGTTTTGTTTTTAACTAGCTCAAAATGCTTAATTTTCTAGAAGTGGCAGTAACTACCAATGTCTTCTGGATTAATAATAATTCCATGAGTGAAGGCCTTGGCAAGCAAGTCAAATGATTAAGTTTCCCCTTCTAAACTATGGGGAAGGGGGTTAGAGACGTAACTTATGGTTAAAAGGACTCACTGCTCTTGAAAACAGACCCAGTACCCAGCATCCTCAAAGTGGCTCACAACTACATGCTAACTCCAGCTTCAGTGGGTACACTGTGCTCTTCTATCCTCCACAGGCAACATGCACATACATGTTGCACATACACATGCAGGCAAAACATTCATACACATAAATTCATACACATAAAAAAATAAATGTCTTCATTCTGTTTGTTTAGTTTGCTTTGGCTTTTTTGTCTTATTTTTGTTTGTTTTAATCTTTGTTTTTGTGAGGGCTTTTTGAAAAAGAGAAAACATTAAGGTGGGTGGACAGAGAGGTGGGAGAAGCTGGGGGAGGGGAAAATATGATCAAAATATATTGTATGAAAAAATTTAGAGAAAAAAACTACTAAGGAAAAAAATAGGGAGCCAGGCAGTGGTGGCGCACACCTTTAATACCAGCACTTGGGAGGCAGAGGCAGGCGGATTTCTGAGTTCGAGAGTTCAAGGCTAGCCTGGTCTACAGAGTGAGTTCCAGGACAGCCAGGGCTACACAGAGAAACCCTGTCTCGAAAAACCAAAAAAAAAAAAAAAAAAAAAAAGAAAAACTTAAACTGTCTAAGGCCTAAATGGGGACATAAGTGATCTTTGGTCCCATCCAGTTGAGGTAAACAAGAACAACTGCCAAGTATATAAAACTGGTTTCAAAAACTTCCCAGACCCTTTATCTTTCCCCTCCTCTTGGAAATAAATCTACCGTCTGTTTCTCTACCCACAAAGGTTCTTATCTCCTGTATCTGTTGAATGATTACAGCCTAATTGTAACTTAAAATGTATCTGGAGAGGGAGGTGGCACATGCTTTAGTCTCAGCACTCGGGAGGCAGAGACAGGCGGATTTCTGAGTTCGAGGCCAGCCTGGTCTACAGAGTGAGTGTCAGGACAGCCAAAGATACACAGAGAGACCCTGTCTCAAAAAACCAACAACAAAAATGTACCTGTACAGAAATATTACTTAAATCAGGTATCTGCAGGTGTGACTGGGCATGCCGATTATCCCAGCATTGAGAGGCTATGACAGAAGGTCCACTGTGAGTCTGAGGTTAACCTGAATACATGACCAGTACAAGTCAGCCAGCACAAAAATAGCAAGACCTTATTTCAAAAGAGCACAAAAGTAAAAACAAAATTCCCTCAAAACAGATTATTAGATATTCTCTCAAAACCAAACCAAACCAAACCAAACCAAACCAAACCAAACCAAACCAA